GCTTTCTGTCAAGCTATCTCACTATGAGACTGCGTTAAAGTAGATAACATCTAATGATGTTAAGTGAAATACAGCAGGTCAGCCAATATAATTACAAAGGGTAGCTTTAAAGAGTTAAATGATTCAAATATGAAACTGTTCAAAATAGCACAACAAGAGAGAGGTTTGTCATCTTTATTTTAACAAATAAATTCAACAGAAAGTTGGATTCTTTGTGATGATTACTATTTCTCCCATATTTCCATGGTTGCCATGTTCAGGGCTCTTACACTCATAGCCACAGCCGCTGTAGCAGCATTTGAGGTTCTTGTCACATTCGCTGTCGTCAGAGCATTGATCAAGACACTTAAACACATGGGGGATTGGAGCAGGACAGGATCCTGGTTTGGTTCCTGTGGAGATAAAAAACAGAAATAACAGTATTAAAGGTGCACTGTGATTTTTCTGGTGGAGGGTCGGCCACATCCTTATCTCTGTGGAGATGTTATTGATTCATTCATTGAAAATATGCCCTTTGGTGGTTGTTGTTACTGTTTTGATCATGTTTTACATAATGCATTATATAGTAATCCCAGACGACTGAAACAAACATTAAAGGGTGTATTACTTTTGACTGGCTTCTGACAGGTTCGTCCACAGCGGTTGGAGCAGCATTTCAGGTTGTCCTTACAGTCTTGGTCAGATTTGCAGGTATGGGTACAGTCCACAAAACCCTTTGGTTTAGGACACGATCCTGGTTTGGGTTTAGGCACTTCTGTGGACACTTATGAAGTTAAGAAGAAGAAGAAGAAGAAGTTCATTAAGAAAGCAAAATATTTCTAAAAAAATATTTAAAAAATATATCTAAAAATATTCTTAGTAACAAGAAAAAATAATGTATACAAAGAGGTGAGGCAAGGATAACAAAGGATTTGATCACTTAAATTTACTGAGAAACCACAAGCAATACTTTAAAAACAAATCCACATATATTCTTGAGGGTCATGTTACCTCTGAGTGGTTCTTGACACAGGCGATCACAGCCGCTGTAGCAACACTTCAAGTTCCCCTCACAATCTCTGTCTGTGGAGCACTGCTCCCGGCAAAGACCGAGCGGAACATCAACGTTCAGAAAGCT